CTGGGCTGCTGCCCCCTGCCAGCCTGGGCTGCTGCCCCTTCCCAGCCTGGGCTGCTGCCCCTTCCCAGCCTGGACTGCTGCCCCTTCCCAGCCTGGACTGCTGCCCCTTCCCAGCCTGGGCTGCTGCCCCCTGACAGCCTGGGCTGCTGCATGGCTCCTGCACAGGGCTCTGCTCACACCTCCCACTCAGCCAGTGCATGAGATGCTTGGTGTAGCCCAAGAGCCCCATCGTTCCCCTGCCCTTGGCTCCCTGCTTAGCCCCAGGACAGGGGCTGCCTGGGTAAATAATCCCTCTCTTTCCTGCACAGGGGTATTCTGTCGTGCTCATCCACCCCTACAGCCCAGCTCCCAGAGCTGCCCATCCCTGAAACCTTTGATCTCCAGTGAACTTGGCTGTAGTAGAGCAGAACCAGCTTACAAATCTCTACTCTGCAAGGGTACATCTGCACTGGCCCCAGTCCAACGAGGCACTTAAGCACATGCTTACATTAAGCACTTCAGAGTTATCAGTTCCATGATTAAGTGCTTCCCTGAATTAACACCGAAGTCCTCAGCCCCTTGCACAGCAGCCTGGCACGGAGGGGGTGTGATGGTTTGCTGGGCATGAGAAGCAGAAAATGATTTTAACTCGTCCAGAGCAGTGTGCCCACTGCAATTTGACCTTATCCTTGGAAGGACGCTGACATTCATTCATCTCAGAATCAGATATTCTGCCATTTTTACCATGTAAAAAGACAGGAAGCTAAAAAAGGTTCTAAGGGAAAATCAGAAATACCCACGTCAGCATCTCACCGTTTCAAACACTGAATGAACTGATCAATTCAGCTTTGAGACATGGAGGGTGTGATCCAAAATTCACACTAATCAGTGGGATTATTAGCTCCAATGACCCCTGGACTGTAGACAAAAAGTCTAATTCTGGAATTTGGGCAAAACCAAGGAAAAAGCACAAACCTCCTTTTTCCAACGAAACACACTAAAAAAAGATCACCCAATGCCTTCCCAACAACATACACCCTGCTGTTACTCAAATCCCTTTGGAGGATTTATTTTTGGAAGGTTCTGAACTGAGCTGTGAGCTTTGTCACCAGTAAGCAGCTGACTTGACAGCTTCACAAGGTGTAAAACGGAAGGACAACAGAACCTAATAAATAACAGGTAATGGAACACAGCTGTCATAATAATAAATGCAATTTATATCAGAGTATTTATGACCCAAATATGCATCAGAGCATTGATTGACTCAAATAAATGCAGAATATGATGGCTGTGTGGTCTGCCGAAGGGATCTGCCTGTTACAGGCATTTCCCATGAATCAATTTTTGCAATTACTCCTGCAAATGACAGACGAGGCTCCTGAACAACAGACTGGGCTGGCAGAACAGAGGTGAATGAATCCAGGGCATGGGACCAGGAGGGATGGACTTAGTCTAGACCAGGAGTTGAGGTTCTTCAACAACTAAATACCATGAAGGCCAGATCTTATCCAGAAGACAGAGAACTGCCAGCACGTTCAGTTGGGGCAGCAGAAATGGTTCATTTGTAGAGAAAGGTGGCTGCAGTGTAAGGCAGAGGGATGCACTCCAGTGAAGGAGCCTGGCCCTTCCACCAGGCCCTTCCTATCTGGCTCCTCTCTTCAACAGCATTTTCTGCTCCTTGCACTCACCCACTCCCCAGCTAATGTCCCAAGTGACACCAAAGCAGCTGCAGCTTCAGCTCAACCCACTGCCCCAAATCTTTTGTGTTAGGAGAGCGCTGTGACAGAGGCTGGCATTTCATCTGCCTCTTCCCAACCAGCAGCTCCTCCTCCCACTTACACTTAAAGCCATCTCCGAATATTACCAGCTCTTGGAGAGATGTGCAAAGCAAGCCAGGGCAGAGTTAGAAACCCAGTGGGATTTGGGAGGAGTGGATACTTTCAGAGCAGCTACGGGCAGGTATCCCCACGTCAGTCAGTATGACGTGTGCTGGGCAGGTAATTCCTCTTGGCAGAGAACCTCCAACGGTGCCAGCAGAAGTGGCTCAGTCCCAGCCCTGAGTGGAGCTGAGACACATTTCTGAAGGAGCAAATTATCATGTGAGCAAAGGATGAATAAACAGAGACATAATGAATGCTGTCCCAGGAGGGAGGTGCTTTTAAGTGCAGGTGTTCTCAGGAGGAGATCCCACTTGTCTTTCTGCCTCCCTTTGTGGCTCAGCGGCTGTGGTGAGCAGGCAGGAGGGGTGTCACTGCCCAGACAGGGAGCCTGGCTGGTTGCTTCTGCCTCTGCCTGCCCCACCCTGTACAGGTGCAGCAGCTCCTCTGCAGCCAGCACTGCCCAACTTTTTCTCTGCACGGCTGGAATTACAACAATGTGCGGCATAAAAAAATAATCAATATAAAAATCTTACACTTCCCTCCCTCTCTTCTTCCCAAACACCCACCAGAGAGGGAAAGCATCCTCCCCAGGCTCTACTGCCTCCTTCAAGCACTGTAGCTGCAGTCATCTGGAAGGGATCCTGGCCTGGGAGCTGCCATCCAACCCACGCCTTCCCCTCTCGAGAGCTGTGCGTGTACCCAGTGGAAATAAACCCCCAGAAAGTGGCAGAAAAGGAGATGGGGGAGAGTGAGAAGCTGTAGGCTTTAAATTTAACAGTCACAAAAATCACTTCCCTACTGGAACTAAATTTCATTGCTCTTGTTTTCCTCTTTTTTTCCCTCCAAACAAAAAT